TGTGGTCTCATCCAACTCTGTGATTCTATGATTCGCCTCTCTTCTTTCTTTTCCATGGAGGCCCAGGGTTTAGGGTGTTTTACATGAGTCCCTCTGCTTCCCCTTTCTCAAGGTGACCCTACTTATCTAAATATTAGTATGTCTGTTTTGATCTAATTCCCGCAGTAAGTGATCACCCTCAATGTCAGTTTAGAGGTGTGATCCTCGTGCCTCTATTCACCACCAGGAGTCTGCCCAGTTTCCAACATTTAACCTTCTTCTTCTACAACAGATAACATTTGTATTGAATAAGAAAGTAATTACATACCAAACAAATGCTTCCTAGTATCCATGGATGGGGCTTAAGGGGTGGGTAATGGAGAGAGAAGAAAAAGGCATGTGTTTGTTTTTTGTTTTGTTTTTTCCCCCCTTTATGGGTACTTCATGTGCTATACTGGAGGTTCTACATGATTGCTTCTGAGTCTTCATGGAGTAGATCCTTGCCTTATTTGATATCCCTGGAGCTTTTCAGCTTAAAATAAGGTTCATACAAGTATGAAAGAAAGTATAGGTAAAAAGGGCCTTTTTTATCTGAAGTATAACATAATACTCTGATATAGCAGAATGTTTTTGAAGGATCTTGTGGTATTTAATTGTACATCACATCTGCTATTGTGTATAGTGTTGCTGGTATATTCAGGTTTTATAGCTTCCAGTAATAGCAGATTATTGTGATAAATGATTCATATCAACTACAAGTGACACCTTTTAAAATTTCCATATCTGGCAACTCTAAAGTGTTTCTTCAATGCTTCAGCAGACCCCCATGGCTGAAAGCTGCTTTATGATTAATTTCATCTCAGTGTGGTAATTAGCATGCTTTGAAGTGATTCCTGGAAAACATGCTAATAGAGGCAGCAAATTAACCCAGAAATATTTTTAGTCCAAAGTGCAATGTACATACACCCAAGAATAAATGAGTTTTCCCCTTGAAATTTCTAGGCTTTTTATTGCTTTTGATCAAAGAAAAAGGATGTTAATAGGAATATAGCAAAAAGAGTACTAAGGTCCTAACAGTGGAAAATTAGAGTAAGGTACTTGGAAGAGAAATTCCTCATTCATATCGAAACAAAGGATAGGTAAGGATGGGAATTTCTAAAAGAGCCCACACCCCTTTTTGGTAAAATATATGGCTATACAATTAATTAGTCCAAGTCAGAAATACTGCCAGTGGGAGACAAGATAGACTTCAGCATATTTAAAGCATGGTAGTTTTGATATTGTCCAGATTCTATTATTTATTTGGTTTAATTGTCCCTAGGGACTTACATCAAATGATTAATCTTAATATAAGTGATCTGATAAAAGATATTGCACAAGATTAAGAGAGATGAGCAAACTTAAAGATGATTCTGTGGTGTACGGTAAACATGATTAAAATGAATGTTATACCTAGAATTGTTTATGTTATGTGTTGAATTCTTCTACTTATACCTTGCAAGTATTTTCAAAAACTGGATGCATTGATTAAGAGATTTGGGAGGGGCTCATCTCATACTAGAATTTCAATGAAAAGGATGCAAATTTCAATTAAAGGGAAGGGGTCAACCTTCCAGCTCTTCTTATATACCACTGGGCATATCTGTGATCTTGTATTATTTTTGGACATATTCACTTAAAGTAAGTAATCTACCATGGTCAGCCTTGGAGTATTCACTTCTGACACCTCTGTTCAGATACTTGGTTCTCTGTCTCCCTCTCCCTCTCCCTCTCTCCCTCTCTATCAGTGCAGTGTTTTGCCAACAATTTCCAGTTAGGATTCTGGCAAATATTGTTTCATCAATTGCAACTTGACCCATTCACTCATGCTAAATTGACTTTATGGGGAAATCCAGATTTGAAAATTGGTAAGGAACCATTTTATGGAAAGTATGGGCCAACAATGGGATTGTTGTCTTAAATCTGATATTTGGTGCTGATGTTGAGTTTTTGCCCTTTTCAAATTTACAAGTGCAATTTAAACTACCTTTGTCAGCTAAATGGCTATGTCTACAACTGAAACATTTGTTACAATCCAGATCTGGCCCTGCAGTTTTAAGAGAAGTTGAGTTTCCTTTAATATATATTAAAGTACTCCTAAGAGATGGGTATCCAACCTCTGTTTAAACATCTCCAAAAAAAAAAGTGAGTCCACTACCCTCCAAGGCAATCCATTCCACTGCTGAACAACTTTTATCATAAGGAAATTCTTTTTTTATGTAAAAACTTTTTTCGTCTAACTTGAATCCATTGGTTTGTTTTCCAGTCTCTGGAGCAGCAGAAAGCAAACTTGCTCCATCATTCCTTCACATATTTAAAAATGACTATGATATTGCCTCTCAATCACCCCTTCTCTCATCTTACCCCACTCCCTAAGCCATTCTTCATAGGGCCTAGTTTCCAGAATTGTATCCTGACAATGGAAATATGTCTCAAGTAGAGCCCTGGGTACTAGAAGGATATGACTGAGGCCTTGTCTACATGGACAAATTTACCCTGAATTCCCACCAGGCTCACAGTGTCCTGTTTACATGACACAGGGCCAAAACCCCAAAATAGATGCAGACTGTCTTGTCTTCATGACACCCACACCTGATTTGGAGCTTCCTCCACCTAACTCACATTTAAATAACTCACCTTTTGCTGTGGGGTTTCAGCTCACAGCAATGCTGGTGGCTGCCTTCACTCATTGTCCTTGTGAGTTTCTTGACACTGCCCATGTGGGCACAAGTTACTCTGAGGTGGGCCTAACATTGTTCCTGGACAGCCATATGGCTGCTGTGGCTAGGTTTTGTTTTTTAAAAAACCAGCTTTGAAATGCTGCTCATTTTATGGAAGGCATATTTGGCCATAGTGATTCTCTGTACTTCATGATGTATGGTGTGGTATTGCATACAGAAGCAGCCCAAGACATTTTGCTGCTTGCTTCCTTCTCCAGGTCCATCTGTATAGTTACAGAGGAGAAGGAACAGGTGGAGCTAATCATTTGCTGCCTTTCCATGAGGGCCAAACTGCTTCTGCAGAGCCAACTCTAATAGGGTGGGACAGTATAAAGACTGATGAATCAAAATGTACTCTTCAGCTATTTTATTATTTTTGAATAATTTCTAAAAATTTAAGATAACCTTTGGTGCAATGGAGCTGCATGCTAATTCATGTGCTTTTAAAAAACCCTACTTACAGATAATAAAAAAGAAGTTTTGACCAAAGATTTGGCTATTTTTTGTGAAGTCATTCTTATAACTAGTTTTTCATCTAGCCAATTTTAAAACAGCCTATTTGATACAGACAAATTATGGTCATTAAGGCTGCAATCCTATTCACCCTTACCTGAAAGGAAGTCCCACTTATCATAGTGACTCTTACTTTTGACTAGACATGCAGACAATTGAGGTGTATTGCAGGAAGATGCAAATAAGGAAGTGGTGACACCATTTATAATTCTGAAATGACATGTTTAGACTTCAGCTGCCTCTTCCATTCTAAATCAATTCACACATTTTATTTCCAGTTCCACATTCCACTTTGTGACTGACAGTTATTTCTCCCTTTTTCAATTTGTTTTTTATTCACACGACTTGAAAAAGCAGAGATTTCACAAGGATTGAAATGTCAACTGTGATCTTAGATGAATGTGTTCTTGGTGGCCATAAGCAGGATAGAAGAACTAAGGATGCTTGTGCATCTGGCTTGTGCGTATAACAAGGCTGTCAGACTCTTGATTAAATGAAGACAAGTCCTAGACATAAAGGACGCTATTCACCAAGCTTGAGCTGTGTTTTGCAATCTCCATTTTAGTGGTGCTTATGTAGGAAACCAGAAACCTGCAATGAAAAGCTAGGATTCAAATAAAATGAGGGCTATGTTTAACATCATAGTAAAATTGTTTGCCCCATTCAATATGTCTCTGAGACTTGCATGCTTTCAATTCACACAGTATCTGATCAAAGGACAGGAGTAGAATTCACTTTTATGTTCACTTAAACATTGAGTTATTTGGAAACAAATATATCAGGTCACGTCTGGGAACCTCAGCTTCTTGTTACGGTGCCTTTCTGACTTACATTAACCCAAAGGCAGCCCTATCATGGGGCTTTCTTGGCAAAATTTGTTCAGAGGGGAGCTTGTCATTGCCTTCCTCTGAAGCTGAGAGAGTGTGATTTGCCCAAGGTCACACTGTGTTTCCATGCCCGAGTGGGGATTTGAACCCTGGCCTCCAGTATCCTAGTCCAACACTCAAAACACTGCACCACACTAGCTCTCACTAACTGCAGATCAGAAGGGCAAAACAAAAGGGAAGAAGCTTAATAAGTTTACACATGTGTTATGAGATATTTATGAGGTTTTTTTGTTATTTACTAGTGAATTCACTTGTTGGTTTGGATATCAGGAGCAGGAATGCACAAAGCATGGAATGTTATTTTTGAAAGGTGATGGGTTGACAATTTTATGTTCCTTTTAATAAAATCATTGTGTTATTTGTTATTTAGACAGTAATGTATAACTAAAATATTACTAATGCATAACTTATCCATTTCTTTTTTTTTTACAAAAATATAATTGAAATAGAAAAATGCCATCCAAAAAGCCAAAAATCCCAATGAAAAATACTTTTGTAAAAAAAAAAAACAAATAATAAATTTTGCTTCTTGCAGGTTTGTACAATGTTTCAGAAACATAATGTGGTATATCATCATTACTCCCAAAAGTATGTTACAGATAAAGCCATTCTTTGTAACAAGTTTATTCAAGAAGAGATCTGAATCTGAATCTGAGATGTGGCCTGAATCTCATTGCATACCTGTATTTTCTCCTCTCCTTTTGTATCAGGCTGTGAGACTGGTGTTGTTTTTTAATTCCCAAAATGAAGTTCATACAATCTATGTTTCTATGGGTGTTTAAGTGTGTCAGTGCATAGTTTTCTAACTGTATGCATTTTAGCCAGATGGGGTTTAAAATTATGTGCATAGTTTTGTGTATATTGTAATTATTTATGCCACACAAGCCACGCAAAGTGTAAATTGTGTTTCTTTTTGCAATAAGACATGAGAGATGCAAAAGGCTACTTTCCTTGAGACTGTAAAAATCAACAAAATATTTTGTGTTTCTATTTCCTATTTTGTTCCTATTTCTACACACTGGCCAAGTTTTCAGTATTCTGAATCTGTCTCCTATTGGATGGATTGGGAAAAGACTTTAAAAATGGGCCACTTAAGCATTTTCTTTTCAGGTTATACAAGTAGAGAAGGGCTTTAATCACACTATAATCATGTGCAACACCATTGGTATGCATTTCTGTTTCCCTTAAATGATGCATCTAATTTCAACCTAGCAAGGCTGCTCTAAATCCAGATTTTCCACTATTATGCACATATGTGAGATGTAAAAGTGTGGTTCTAATCTGTGCTAAAAACACAGTAAAGAATGTGTAAAATCATAAACTGAGACTGAGACTGAGGCTGAACTGAGACTGAGAACTGAATTACAGAAATTGTGTTTTCCTTCGGGGGGGGGACCCTTGCCCCCATGATCATTTCTGCCACACACATACATTGTGTGTGGCTAAGAAAATTGATACTAGCATGTCACGGTGACTGATCCACAAAAGCACATTTGTTAATGATAGTAATTATCAAGTGATCCTAAATAACAATTTTTCCTCATTAATTTTCCTGCCGGTGCCTTTGATTTAGTGGAAAATCAATAGGCAACTTGGTTTTAATAATCTCCTTTCCCTCTGTAAGAGAGATGCTAAGGGCACTATTTTTCATCTGCAGTTTCCCTTGATTTCTCTGTTGTTGTTACAGAATGCCTTTAGTTATTGCTTTAATTTGTTCTCATTTTAAGAGCCAAGAAAAGCTGGCTCAGAAGCCCAACCAGTTTCTGTGAAAGTAGCTGCACTAGGTGAATGATTATATTCTTTCTTCTTTCTTCATTTCATTCTCATTTAATCAACCTTTTCTGTCTCCATACATCTTTTTTTGATTTTATTGCACCATAGCACCATCTTCTGGTTAATAGGAATGAAATATTTTTGTTGCTCCATCTCAGCTATTAAATAGTGGAGGGCTATCCTAACAGATAGTAAATGTCATGGAGTTCCTGCCATGTATCATAGGAATTTATCACATGGGGAAAATTGGAAGTTTAACCTGTGGTTATCCAGTGTGTTAGGCACAATTGTGCAAGTGGTCTTCACACACATTGTGCACAAACCTCTTGGAATCCATCAGGAAAGTGACATGAACCAGCAAATAGGCATTTTCAGGAAAATGCCATAAATTCATTTCTGTTTCAGTCACAAATTTGCTTTTTTTCCCCCCACACAATTGCTCTAGTGTGAAAGCCGTTTGCAGGATTCTCCCCAATTCTGTATTTGTTACCAGATTTCCCATGGTTCTTTGGGGTGAGTAGCCAGGATTCTTAAAGGAACAGTTGCTGAGGCAAAGGAAGGGACACAGAGAAAAAGCTTGCTTCTCCATCTGTGTGAATGTCTCTTCTCCCTTCCCCTTCCCCATTAGCTGAGGTTCTTAAAGGAACAGCTGCTGAGAGAAGGCAGGGATGCCACTTGCTGAGAGGGACACAGACTTTTATGCTGTTTTTCTACCTTTCATATTTCTCTGGATAATGTTTCATATTTTTTTTTACTTAGGATATCATTTCTTGGAAAGTAAGGGACAGTACAGCATATTTTTATAAAGAAAATTGTATAAATAAATTTGCTTATTTCTTTGGGTGATTTCTGGTAACGCAGCTACTTCTTCTGTGCACACACACACACAAAAATGATTCCCAAACCATTATCAAGATTTACATGCATCTGTGTGAAAACCAAATGCATGTTCTGCCCTCTTTCTCGCTTTAGTAATGAGCTTCTAATGCATTATTGTGTTCTGTGAAAATTATTCATGCATTGTGCACTTTTGCGGGTTGCAGCCGCTTTAATCATTATCGGGATGGAGGTACATATGGTCCCCGTGTGATAAACTCCATAGTGAGTGTCTCAGACAAGAAAGGAAAACCCATAACTCACCTGGGACTAGGAGTAGGGGAGTCTATCCCATTAAAAAAAGGTTCACTTCTTGAGTAGACAGATATTATTAGAACTACATAAATCACTTTCCCCTCTCTCCTTGTAATGTGTAATACTTAATCCATTTGGAGGCATTGTTTGTGTTGTGTATTTCCTTCTTCCCAGATCATCAAGGAACTACTGCACACCATTTCAAATACAATCACTTCTCTCTCTTTTTTGCTTCATAGCCTATACATTCTTGCTTTATGAGAAGACGATCCTCATTCTGAACTGTATTTTTTATTTGTAAATACAACATCAACACTTAAAACATGTTCTGGGGAATTGTAGTAGCATATTTCATCTCAGTGAAGACATCCAACAGCAAATGTATATCTTCATTATAAAGTGATTAATATTTCTAGTGAAACAACAACTCTACTATGGTGAAATTATTTTCTTTTATTTGCTGACCTACAATAGGAATAAAGAGACCAGAAAGAAGAACCTGAGTTGAAGAAGGACCACTTTATTAAACTATTTAACTAATTTAAACTCCATTATAAGCAATAGGGAAGAACAACCTGGTGAGGGAGCAAGTGAGACAATACATCTCCAGCAGATGTATTTTCATCTTACTCTGGGTGAACACCAGAGTCCAGAGTAAGTTGGACCCAAGCCATGTAGGGCTTTAAAGGTCAAAACCAACA